ACAGGCGCCCGCCACAGCGCCGGCCATTTTTTGGTTGCAGCCATCATTGTTGTTTGGCGGCCCGGGCTAGGGATTCCAACCCGCCACCTTAGGTGTATGTGGCTAGGGCCTTAGCTGATTGAGCCACAGGCGCCGAGCCTAATTTCCCAATTTTGAATCTCATTGTTCTCCACCTACTTCAGTTATTCTGGCCCACTCAATTTTCTCCCAAATTCACTAAGTTCATGATATCTTTTATCACTCAGGTTCCCTCATCCAAACTGTGTTCCCCTCTCCCCATTCATGTTTATCCTACCCGTTCTTTTTTTTGAGACAGCTCACAGCAACCTCAAAATCTTGGGCTTAAGCAATTTTCTTGCCTCAGCCTCCCTTGTAGCTGTGCCCACCATAACGCCTGGCTATTTTTTTCTTTAGTTGTCATTGCTGTTTACCAGGCCCAGACTGGGTTCAAACCCACCAGTCCTGGTGTATATGGCTGGTGCCTTAACCACTGAGCAACAGGCACCAAGCCAATCCTACCCATTCTTAAATGTATGGCTTGTTTTAATGCCTTCTATTCTTCCCCATCTTATTTTATTTAATTAATTTAGTTTTTTGAGACAGAGTCTCACTATGTCACCCTTGGTAGAGTGCCATGGCATCATAGTGCACAGGAACCTTAAATTCTTGGGATTAAACAATCCTCTTGCCTCAGCCTCCCAAGTACCTGGGACTACAGGTGCCTACCACAACACCCAGCTGTTTTTTTGTTATTGTCATTTTTGTTTAGCAGGCCTAGGCCAGGTTTGAACCCACCAGCCCTGGTGTATGTGGTTGGCACCCTAACCACTGTGCTAGGGGAGCCAAGCCTTGCCTGTTATTTTAGTCCATGATGAATTCTCTATTTTTTGAGACAGAGTCTCACTTTGTTGTCCTCGGTAGTGCCATGGCATCACAGCTCACAGCAACCTCAAACTCTTGGGCTCAAGCAATTCTCTTACCTCAGCCTCTCTGGTAGCTGGGACTATAGGTGCCCACCACCATGCCTGGCTATTTTTTGTTGCAGTTGTTATTGTTGTTTAGCTGGCCTGGGCCAGGTTTGAACCTGGCTCCCTTGGTGTCACCATAACCACTGTGCTAAGGGCACCGAGCTCCAAACCCTATAGTTTTTTGAATTTCATATAAATAAAATCATATAGTATTATATATGGAAACGCAATCATATATAAATGGAATATAAATAGAATCATATATAAACAGAATCATATAGTATGTATTGTTTGGGGTCTGTCCTTTTTTTTTCCTTAGAACCACTGAAGACATGTATCTGGGCTCAGCACCCATAGGTCAGTGGTTAGGGCGCTAGCCACATATACGCAGGCTGGGGGTTTGAACTCAGTCTGAGCCTGCTAAACAACAGTGACAACTACAACCAAAAAATAGCCAGCACTGTGGTGGGTGCCTGTAGTCTAGCTACTTGGGAGGCTGAGGCAAGAGCCCAAGAGTCTGAGGTTGCTGTGAGCTATGATGCCATAGCACTCTACCAAGGGCAAAACAGTGAGAGTTTGTCTCAAAAAAAAAAGAAAGAAAGAAGAAAGAAAGACATGGATTTGGCTTTCTTTACTGAACACAATGTGAGAAATAATATGCTATATAATAATGTTCATTTTCATTCTGTATGGAAAATATATTTATACTCATTTAAATAAATAGATAATTCATTTTTATCCATTTTATTGCTATCAGACCTTTGGGTTATCTAACTTATAAACAGTAGGTATCTTTGTCTCCCCAGCTAGAATGTAGGTTTCTGGAGGACAGGGAACATATATTATACTATTTTATATTTACCTTAGTATTTGGCATAATGCTAAGCACAAAATGGGTGTCCCCAAACACATTAAATATTGATTAAATAAGTCTACTAATAGTTTGGGAGATGAGAAAAAGTAAGTATAGTTAGAAATCAATTTAATATTTTTAGCTGGCAATTATTTTAGTAATTGGCATTTTGTAATGCCTACTACTTAAATCACAAGGCTTGACCTTTCCTATTTATTTACATCCAAGGATTTATCGTATTTTATTCCTGAGACAATCAAAAGCTAAAACTTTATCAACTATATTCAAAAATAAAATTACAGCAATTCAAAAAGTAATCATTATTTGCTTACTTTGCACAGTACCTCATCAATATGTTAAGTACTTTCTATGGCTATAGCTCTTAATGAGCTCCTGTATTTTTTATTCTAGTTCCTAAAATTTATATGAATTATTATAAATCTACAAACACACAAAAATAAGTCTAAAGGCAGTTTCTCTATACCATAGAAACAAAAATTCTAGTGCCTAGGATTAGCAGGAAATTAACAATTCCTATTCAAAACTATAATAAACCAAATAGCTTTTAGTTCTATATACTTTTCTTTTCTTTTTTTTTTTTTTGAGACAGTCTCATTCTGTTACCCAGGCTAGAGTGTCACAGCCTCAGCCCAGCTCACAGCAACCTCCAAACTCTTAGGCTCAAGTGATCTGTCCCAGCCTCCCTGAGTGCTTGGTTGGATTATAGATGTTAGCCACTGTGACTGGCCTACTCTTCTTAAACAGTCAGTGAATGTTTCCTAGGCACTGTGTACATTTCAAAACAGTATTTATATTGCCTAATCTTCAGTCCTATTCTGACATTCTCTTGAAGAGCTGGTTTGGCTTTCCATTTATTTGCATTTTATAAAACTGGAGCCATATCAACTTTCTCAGCAAATAGGAAAATACACTTCCGGGCAATAATTTCTGAGATACCTGTGTCCTGGCCAACTACATATGGGCATATCTCTAACATTAGTTTAAATAAGATATAGATTATCACAGGTCTTTTAAGATTTGTTCTAATCAGTAATTCAACATGACAAAAAGCAGAGAAAGGAAAATAGCAAATAAAAAAAATGCAAAGTCTAAGAAACCAGGGTGTTCCCAAGTTGAGGAATGAATATAGACAAGAAGAAATGCTACTAGATATATGCAGTCAATTCTGTTACAGTTAAAGATAATTACCAAAGGCAAATTTAGTATTTAAGAAACATAAACATTTTATTTATTTTTTTGATGTAGGGTCTCATTCTGTTACCCAGGCTGGAATACAGTGGTGTGATCATAGCTCAATGTACCCCTGAACTTTTGGGCTCAAGCAATCCTCCTGCCTCAGCTTCCCAATTAGCTGGGACTACAGGCATGTGTCTATATACCTAGCTATCTTCTTCTTTTTTCTATACCAAAATGTGATGTTACACCCAGCTATTTTAAAAATTTTTTGTAGAGATAGGGTCTTGTTATGTGGCTCAGGCCAGTCTTGAATTCCTGGCTTCAAATAACCTTCCATCTCAGCCTCCCAAAGTGATGATATTATAGGGGTGAGCCACTGTACCCAGTGTTAATTTTATGTTTTCAGAGGCCAATAATAAAGATATCTCTTTCTGTTATTTACTAATGACTTTCTTGGAAAGGAAGCAGACTGCTTAAAATATTACATCTATATACCTTTATAACTTCTTCACAAGGGAAGAGTGATGGGAAACATAGTAAAAAGTTAAAAATGAAGGATAATGTGCACTACAAGTAGGAAAGCCAGGAAAATACTTGGTTGTGTGATAAAACTCACTATCTTAAGACTAACTATACTGTAAGATAAATGTCCTATTAACAAGGAGAAATTTGGAAAGGGAAAGCTAAATTTTTAAAAATTTTTAGAAATTAATACTCTCTTTTTTTTTTTTCTTGAGACGGAGCCTCAAGCTATCCCCCTGGGTAGAGTGCCATGGCATCACAGCTCACAGCAACCTCCAACTCCTGGGCTCAAGTGAGTCTCCTACCTCAGCCTCCCAAGTAGCTGGGACCACAGGTGCCCGCCACAACGCCTGGCCATTTTTTGGTTGCAGCCATCATTGTTGTTTGGTGGGCCGGGCTGGGGATTCGAACCTGCCACCTTAGGTGTATGTGGCTGGCGCCTTAGCCACTTGAGCCAGAGGCGCCGAGCCAGAAATTAATACTCTCATCAATTAATACTTGACTCCTAAACATCCAAAGAGGACAAAAAACTTATTTCTGCCATAAGAAACCCATTCATTATTTCTGTAAGAAAGTTAATCACACTTGTTCTTGTCTTTTTATTTAAAAGACTTTTTCTCTCCAAAGCTTAAGAGGACTTCAACATGTGGGCCCTCTTTTTTACTTTTATCATAAGGAGTTATTTCACCATCAATCTGACTCGAGAAACTATAAGTACAAAACTTTACACCATATTCTCTCCTGTATCCTATAAAAGTTTGGAATAATTCTGTAATTAAATTACACTTTAAGTAATTATACTTCTGGATTTTACCCTCAAATTATCAATCACCCTCCCAAACTTCTCTAACTCCCAGATGATTGGAGTACAAATCTAAGGCCAATTTAGCATAGATGAAAATATTCCATCAGATTACTTTTTAAAACATTTCAATATTTAATAGTCTTTGAGTTACTCTAGCAAATCTAATTAAATTACCTCTTTATCTTTTAGTCCCAGGAGTAATATTTCCTCCATAAGGGTGAGGCGGATATCTTTGGAGTCTCCAGAGTCTTCATTGTCTAGACTCCTCTCCTGATTGGTGTCTTCCTCACTTTGCATCTTCTTTTCAGAGTTCTTGCTTACTTCAGTTCGACGGGCCCGGTGAGTTAAAGTGGTCATTCTCACCTGTTTCTGGAGAGAATAGTGAAAAAATATCCATATGTGTGCTTATGTAAAAAGCACATATAGATAGTCACACATGCATAATAAAAATGCATACAAGTAGGAAATAGGCCTGGCATGGTGGCTCATGCCTATAATCCTAACACTATACCTGCTTGAAACCCAGAGTTCAAGACCAGCCTGAGCAAGAGCATGACCTTGTTTCTACAAAAAGTAGAAAAATTAGCCAGGTGTGGTGGCATACACCTGTAGTCCCAGCTACTTGGGAGGCTGAGGCTGAAGGATCACTTGAGGCCAGGAGTTGGAGGTTGCCGTGAGCTATAATCCTGGCACTGTAGTTTAGCCTGGGGAACAAAGCAAGATTGTGCCACACACACAAAAAAAGCCCTTTCTCTGTATCTGTATCACTGGAAACAGGCATTCTCCTCTCCAGACAAACTCTGGACATATTAAAGAGAAATACAAATATAAATAATAGGAAATATTTACAAATTTAAATATAGAAGGAAAGAAAAGAGTAATAACCAGAAAAATTGAGTTGTTAACATAGTATCTTTTCCAAAGTACAATAGCTTAGACTCCACAGATGGCAATGATAAAAGATCAAATCAGTAATTGTAAAGTCCAGAAGAAATAATCATTTTTGAAGCCTGCAGATCTTTTGTACATAACCAAGAGTGAATGTCCACCATTGTCACTCCTCTTTCACAAAATAGATCTCCAAGTTAAAGATGATGGGACAGCAAAAACTGGAGGCCTCAACTCCAAAATGCATATAATTTATGCAAATAAATTATGCATTTATGTAAACACTCAATGGTACTATATTTATAAAACATTCACAAAAGTACAAAGTAAAAAAGAAAAACTAAGCAGAAATATATGTTCTAATGTTTCCTTCCCATACCCTAATAACTCATTTTATGCACTCACTTTGGACATAACTAGAGGATATTACTCAGAAAATTGTGTAATAATTCCATAGTCAGTAAACTTAGCATCTCTACTATGTTTTTTTTTTTTGAGACAGAACCTCAAGCCGTCACCCTGGGTAGAGTGCATGGCATCACAGCTCACAGCAACCTCCAACTCCTGGGCTCAAGCGCGTCTCTTGCCTCAGCTTCCCAAGTAGCTGGGACTACAGGTGCCCACCACAATGCCTGGCTATTTTTTGGTTGCAGCCGTCATTGTTGTTTGGCAGGCCCAGGCTGTATTCGACCCCGCCAGCTCAGGTGTATGTGGCTGGCGCCTTAGCCGCTTGAGCCACAGGCACCAAGCCTACTATTTTTAAAATACACAAACAGCTGCCAACAAAAAGTCCTGGTTAGAGAGTGTTAAATGACTGGAAAATTCTTTCTCAATTGGCTTGGCGCCTATAGCTCAATGGGCTAAGGCACCAGCCACATACACCTAAGGTGGCGGGTTCGAATCCCCAGCCCGGACCCGCCAAACAACAATGACGGCTGCAACCAAAAAATAGCCGGGTGTTGTGGCGGGCGCCTGTGGTCCCAGCTACTTGGGAGGCGGAGGCAGGAGACTCGCTTGAGCCCAGGAGTTGGAGGTTGCTGTGAGCTGTAATGCCATGGCACTCTACCCAGGGGGACAGCTTGAGGCTCTGTCTCAAAAAAAAAAAATTCTTTCTCAATTACAAAAAAACCCCAAAAACCCAAAACAAAAAAAAAAGTCCTTTTATTTTATGTACTACAGTTGTTTAAAAAATCTACAGTCCCAAGAAACTGCACTAAATCCGCTGTAATAAAGTTCAAAGTTAGTGCATTTCATTTTATATAAATCTAGATGTCAGTTTTTAAGATTATATACAACAAATATTTTTATTCATCAATTATATACAGGAGTATCTTTTTCAAGATCAAAAGAATAGCATTTAAGAGCCATTACGATTGGTCCCAGTTCTACCTTCTAGCAATATTTCCCATTATTCCCAATATATATATATATGGTTGTCAAGTCTTTTCTCAAATATGTTCCATGCTTTCTTTCTGTCTCTGCTTTTTTGTACTTGCTGGGGTTCTCTCCCTTTTCTCATTCTTTCTAAATTCTACCCATTCCTCAAAGGCCTACTGACCCACTGTGAAATCTTATGTGAATCTCCTCCATTATTCATATGCCCATGGCCAGAACTGAGCTTTCCTTCAGCTGTACATTCACAAAAGTTTATTTATACTTACTTCCTTTAAAGTATTTATTATACTCTTTCTTTTGGTATAGTTGCCTCTCAACTGTAAACTTCTTGAGAGCAGGGATATTGTCTTCTTGGGTTTTTATATTCTCCATAGCAACTAGTGAATGCCTTTAACGTTGTAACTGCTCAATAAATATATACTGATTAAAATGAACACTCAGAAATGCATGTGAACATTTAAAATAGAAATACAAATGAAGTGACTTATGAAAGATTCTCTGCATAAGGGTATATTTCAAATATAATTTTTGTGGGAGGCAGGAAGAGAGAAGGAGGAAGAGAACTGTAAAAAAATGCTTAAGGGCACTAACCTTATTTGACACAACCTTGTTTGTGAATTGAGATTATTTCCTAATTCAAAGAAATAAACTTTAAACCTTCAGGGGAAAGAAAATAAAGGAGACTCTTCTTTGAGGAATTAATTTCCCCTGGACATTTACTAGTTAAAAGTCCTATTTAAAAAAACAAATGGCCGAGAACAAATTAATAAATAAAAACCTCCCTCTTCCAATAAAACAAAAAATTTAGAGGTTTTTTTGACGTTAGAAAATGTGACTTTCTTGTTGCTTACCTGATGTTCCTCCTAGGTTACGGCTGGACGCAGGTCGCAGTTTGTGCACTATTTTAGGAGGACACCTGTTCACCCCACTCCACCCCCGTCCTAATAGGTGAAAAACTTCTCAGCCACGCAGAGAGCACAAACTTCCTGATCCTTCGATGCACAGAAGGAATAACACATCAGCTTCTTCAGGATAACTAGGCAACCTACCTTGGTGTTTCTTCATTGGGCCAATCAGAAATCACCAAGGTTGAGTTCAGCCAATCGGAGCTTACGAGGGGAGGCTCTCCCCCTGGCTATTGTGTTGCGATCCAGACAAACACCACCAAAAGGAGGCAGGTTTGGGTTCAACCTGACAGCTGGTCAATCCAATGAAGGAACCTCAGTGAAAAGAGGCAAGAGGGCTGCGCTTTCCCCACACCAGTAAGGCGGCCAATCAAAGCGTTTAGTGAGTTAATAGGAGCCAATCTCGAAAGGTTTCTGTTGGTCAATTTCAGCGCAGCAGGTGGGTTACTGCACTTAGGTGACATGTGTTGGGATCCAGACAATACAGTTGGAATAAATAAACAGGTTAAAATTAGTTGTTTCTGTAGCTAATAACTGATTGATTGTTCCAGAAAAGCCTGATTTGGGGTCCTTTGTGGACGTTTGTTTAGTTTACCTTAAAGAGGAAGGATATATTTCTACCATTGCAAGGATATATTTCTACCATTGCATACATACCAACATTCCTTACAAAACTGATCACGGACAAACCTGTGGATAATGTACATTTTTGGAATATGGCTGCTGAAACTACAAAAGACAAATAGACAAAGTTTTGAAGCTTCCTTTTCTAAACCAAAATAAATGGGCAAGGCTGGAATTAGCTCCCAGGTTTTCATTAAAAGCACAGTATCTTTCATACTACCACTCAAAAGATCTAGAAAGTATGCTTAATTCTTCCAAAGCAATACCTACCGAATGACCTAAAAAAAGTACCTAAACATTTTCCGCTAATCAAGTAAAAATCAGAAGCCATGAAAAAACCTACATACTGAACAATATTTTATTTATGCTACTAAAAATGCCGACTTTAAAAATCAGTTATCGGCTCGGCGCGTATAGCTCAACCGGCTAAGGCGCCAGCCACGTACACCTAAGGTGGCGGGTTCGAATCCCCAGCCCGGACCCACCAAACAACAATGACGGCTGCAACCAAAAAATAGCCGGGCGTTGTGGCGGGCGCCTGTGGTCCCAGCTGCTTGGGAGGCGGAGGCAGGAGACTCGCTTGAGCCCAGGAGTAGGAGGTTGCTGTGAGCTGTAATGCCACGGCACCCTACCCAGGGGGACAGCTTGAGGCTCTGTCTCAAAAAAAAAAAAAAAAAAAAAATCAGTTATCTTTCTGTCCTGTAGTAAAAAAGGTAAAAAAGGAAAAAAAGCACCAATTTTCAAACTACTCATTATATGCTATCATGTTAACAACATAACAAAGTATCAAAGAACATTGTTTTAATAACACAATGACAAAACACCCAGTTTAATGGTATAGTTTTAACATAAGTAAAAAATGAATCCCTACCAAACTTTATGCCAAAGTAAAACTTTAATGCCAAAGTAAACATTATTTCAAAAGTGGCTTTAGAAAGCCTTAAAAGTTAATACATATTTAAAAGAAGTGTCCACCAAAGTGGAAGACAGATCAATATTGAACAGAATCATGACACTTACACTTTTAGTTTTAGTCAAATAATCCCAAATAAGATTAAGAACCACAATATGGTAGTCAGCTAAGACCTTCATTTTAGTGTATGAACTACTTAAAACTGCATATATATTTTCAAAGTTAGGGAAAACACACCTTAAAATAGAAATATAGCGTCCTTTAACAAATGTTGAGAAGATCTTTGTAAATGTTTAGAAGAAAAAATAATTTCATATATGTTCTTTTGGCTCGCTAAACTTTCTCCTTTTTGGTATAGACTCTTGACTAGAAGAATCAAAGTGATGAAGGACCTGTCAAAAGAAAACAACTGCTTAGAATAGGTAACTTTCCAGTTTAAAGGTCTTTAATATTAGATTTTTTTTCATGTCTTTGAGGTTTCTTTCCTTTTTAAAAAATTATACCTAGCATAACTATTTCCTACTAAGAGATAGATAGATAAAAAATAGTTTCTTTTTTTTTTATTATTCAGGCACTTGCACACAGGGGTCAGCATGTTGCACATGCTAACTTCTTATATTCTTTCTTTTCTTTTTTTTGTTAGGGATTCATTGAGGGTACAAGAAACCAGGTTACACTGATTGCATTTGTTAGGTAAAGTCCCTCTTACAATAGTGTCTTGCCCCAAAAAGGTGTAGCACACACCAAGACCCCACCCCCTCCCTTCTTCCCTCTCTCTGCTCTTCCTTTCCCCTACCCCTCCCTCCTTCTTTCTCTTTGCTCTCCCCTTCCCCCACCTTGTCATTAATTGTCATTAATTGTCCTCATATCAAAATTGAGTACACAGGATTCATGCTTCTCCATTCTTGTGATGCCTAGTACTAAGAATAGTGTGCTCCACTTCCATCTAGGTTAATACAAAGGCTGCAAAGTCTCCATTTTTTTTTTTTTTTGTAGATACTCTGTCTCACTTTATCCCTCTGGGTAGAGTGCTGTGGTATCACACAGCTCACAGCAACCTCCAACTCCTGGGCTTGTGATTCTCTTGTCTCAGCCTCCCGAGTAGCTAGGACTACAGGCACCCGCCACAACTCCCTGCTATTTTTTTGTTGCAGTTTGGCCGGAGCTGGTTTGAACCCACCACCGTTGGTATATGCGGCTGGCACCCTACCCACTGAGCCATAGGCACTGCCCTAGTCTCCATTTTTTTTAATGGCTGAATGGTATTCCATGGTGTACATATACCACAGCTTGCATCCATTCCTGGGTTGGTGGGCATTTAGGCTGTTTCCATATTTTGGCGATTGTAAAGTGAGCTGCAATAAACAGTCTAGTGCAAGTGTCCTTATGATAAAAGGATTTTTTTCCTTCTGGGTAGATGCCCAGTAATGATACCTGGTTTCTTTAAAAGTAGAGACAAACTTATTGACATAGTTACATCTTCAAATGGCTCTGAAAGTACAGGGTGTCCATTAAGTTCATGTGCAATTAAAAATTTACAACTATTTTAAATTTCACATGAACTTTATGGACACTATATATATACATGTATGTATGTATGTATATATATATGTACGTGTGCAAAATATAAGATCTTCATTAGGGTTGCTGTGGTAGTTAGAAGATAGATTTAACATTATGTCTTCAATAGTAAAAAATTATGGAGGGATGAGAAGGGCAAAAGATTTTAAAATGAGCTACAAATGGACAAACATTCCACCTTGGCATCATGGAAGATTTAAATCATGTCAATTTTGTATTCCTGGTACTTAGCAATGCTTGACAGAATTATACTAGACATTCAATGCATACTTTTGAATGAATGGGAATTCAGGAATTCTTTTTTTAAAAATTATTATTATTTTTATTAAATTGTTAACTTTGTACATTGATGCATTTATGGGTATTGCTTCAATATACAATGTGAAATGCTTATATAGAACTAAGTAATACATCCATCACAATTATACTCATTTCTTAATAGTTTTGAAATGCACCATTGCATCATGCACATTAGGTGAGGTCCCCCCAAATACCCTCCCTCCTCCTATATCTCCCCTCCTCTCCCCTCTCTCAAGGAATTCTTATCTTTAAGTTATCAAAATTTGATTTTGCTGAAATAAGTTAAACTCATTATGAATAACATTAGGATTTTACAGGAAAAAAAAATCAAGGCTCAGTACATTGGGAAAAATGAAAGAACCTAATATATTAATGAAATATTACTACATTTCTTTCCTAAATTATGTAATTGATTAACATTTAATTTTTAAACACAATTTAAATTTTTAGTTGTTTAATTTTTAACCTACTAACAATACCAAAATATCTAGTTGGAAAAATACGAATATCTCAGAAATGAAAAATACATGATTTGACTTGGTAAAATAAGATTCCAATATAAAACAAACTATAGGATTTAGGTCAGGAAAAGTTTCCTCCCCCCTAAAGTACTAGGAGGAAACACTATATTTTTGGGGAACAAATCAATTTGGTATCTTTTTCTTTTTTTTGAGACAGAGTCTCACTATGTCACCCTTAGTAGAGTGCTGTGGCATCACAGCTCACAGCAACCTCAAACTCTTGGGCTTAAGTGATTCATTTGCTTCAGCCTCCCAAGCAGCTGGGACTATAGGTGCCTGGCACAACACCTGGCCACTTTTTGTTGCAGTTATCATTGTTGTTTTAGCTGCCCCAGGCTGGGCTCAAACCCTCCAGCCTCAGTATATGTGGCTGGCACTGTAACCATTGTGCTCTGGGCACTGAGCCGATTGGTAACTTATTCTGCTTCTACTTTAGTTTTGGTTTCTAAAAAGCTCAGATCAAACTTGTGGCCCAATTTCAGCTCCATATAAACAAAATGGCCTGAATATTCTTGTACTGTCACCTTTTCATTCTACTCATTTTTTCCTGATACTAAATTTTTCTTTTTTCTCCAGTTTTTGGCTGGGGCTGGGTTTGAACACACTACCTCTGATATATGGGGCCGGTGCCCCACACCTTTAAACCACAGGTGCTACCCTCACTGATTTTTATTTATTTTATAAATTATTCTAATTACTTTAAATCATTCATGGAATGAGACAGTAAATATTTACATGGAAAAAATTAATAAAATTACGTAGTACATCTTACTACAAAATCATATGAATTTTTAGCACAAAATGTAATTAAACAACATTTGAATACCAGAGCTCTGAGGTATATCCAGGCATATCATCAAATTTACCATTTAAACTTTAAAGTAATGATATTCTTTTATTTATCTATTTATTTATTTATTTATTTTGTAGAGACAGAGTCTCACTTTGTCGCCCTCAGTAGAGTGCTGGTGTCACACAGCTCACAGCCACCTCCAACTCCTAGGCTTAAGCGATTCTCTTGCCTCAGCCTCCCAGGTAGCTGGGACTACAGGCGCCCACCACAACACCCGGCTATTTTTTTTTGTTGCAGATTGGCCAGGATCGGGTTTGAACCTGTCACCCTCAGTATATGGGGCTGGCGCCCTACCGACCTGAGCCACAGTCGCCACCCTATTTTATTTTATTTTTTGAGACAGAGTCTCACTGTGTTTCCCTGTGACGTGGTGCCACAGCTCACTGCAACCTCAAACTCTTGGGCTTAAGCGATTCTCTTGTCTCAGCCTCTGGAGTAGCTGGGACTGCAGGCGCCTGACACAAGGCTCTGCTATTTTTTTGTGGCAGTTGTCACTGTTGTTTAGCTGGCTAGGGCTGGGTTCAAAACCACCAGCCTTGGAGCCTCGGTGTATGTGGCTGGTGCTGTAACCACTGTGCAACAGGTGACAAGCCTATATATGTATTTATTTATTTATTTATTTATTCATTCATTTATTTTGAGACAGAGGCTCACTCCGTGACCCTGGGTAGAGTGCCATGGCATTATAGCTTATAGCAATCTCAAACTCTGGGGCTCAAGTGGTCATCCTGCCTCAGCCTCCTAAGTGCTAGGACCATAGGTGCCCACCACAATGACCAGCTAATTTTTCTAATTTTAGTAGAGACAGGGTCTTGCTCTTACTCACACTGGTCTTGAACTCCTGAGCTCAAATAAACCACTCACCTTGGCCTCCCAGAGTGCTAGGATTGCAGGCGTGAGCTACCCCACCTGGCCTATAGTAATGATATTCTGATACTTGCCATTTTATTGAACCTTTACACTATATTGTAAGATTTACCATTTTCCCAGATTCATGGCGGCTTCTCTTCCGTTTTTCTTTAGAAGATTTTATTGGTTGATTTCCATTTGCCTGCACAAAGATAGAATAATTACTAACGGGTTCTTTCTTTCTTTCTTTTTTTTTTTTTTTTTGAGACAGAGCCTCAAGCTATCCCCCTGGGTAGAGTGCCATGGCATCACAGC